AAAAAAAAAAAAAAACAAAGCCCCCCGCCCCCCGGCCCCCGGGGAAAAAAGACCCCCCCCCCCGGGACACGGGGGCCAAAAAGACAACCCCAAAAAAAAAAAAAAAAAAAAGCCCCCCCCCCCCCCCCCCCCCCCCCCCCCCGCCGCCCTAGCTTTCAAGTATTTATTTTCGTGCTTGCTCCCTTTTTCATGTTTCTGGGCGTGTTTCTCTTGCTCTGACTAATGGGCTCTTCTCGGCTTCTGGGCGCTGCTACGTATTCATTCAACACCTCGCTACCTGGTTGGCCAGGAGCACGGGGTGGATGACGTCACGGGGGAAAAGCTCGTCCGTAGAGACGACGACCAGCCAGAGGTGAGATTGCTGCCGAACTAAACGTTCCACACGTACTACCAGTCGTTTTCTGAGAGATACCGCACTGCTGCTGCAGTAGGCGGCGCAGCCGGTTGGTTGCTGCAGACCATAAAGCAATCGCCACGCCTGTCTTTTTCCGGAGGCAGCGAATGAATACAGGCCAGTGCGCATTGTCCTGTAACTCGACTGCAGAGATGTGTGCTGGAGAAGCGCGACTCAAAGATGGGAAGAAGGGGGGCACGTTGTGGCGTCGAAGGGAACGGTAGGCTGCCAGGAGTCGCCCAACAACAATGCTGATTTGGTATCTTCAACTTTGGGCGGGCGCGAAGTATGTGCGTCTCCCACCGGTTGGTTGCGAGGCTTCCCATTTTGTTCGTGGAAACACGTGGATTCGACGCGGCACTTCAGTTGGGTAAAAGCCCGTTGCTCCTCTTCATGCCGACCAGACTTTCGTACATTCCAAGGTCATAGGCAATCCGCAATGACACGTATTGTTACAGACAAAAAAAAACAAGGTTCTTCCGGCACATATACTAGCCGCGTAAGCAGCTTTAGCGCCGCGATACACCTTCCAGCGACCAAGGGCAAAGTGATTGAACCCACCCCCCCGGCTCCTGCCCGTTGTGCCCTATTTTCATGTCTCTCGCATGTATATCAACATGACAGGTGGTTGAAGAACGCCTTGCCAAGTACGAGAGAACTACCCGGCCGCTTCTTGACCTCTACGGGGAGGAAGGCCTCCTGCACTCCTTCTCCGGAGAACAAAGTGACGTCATATACGCCGAGGTCAGAAAGTTCCTCGCTGAGGTGCTACCCAAGGGCAAGCCTGCAGCCGGTTAGACGGATCGATTTAGAGCCTTGAGTGCTCGCTAAAGATCGCGTGGTGTGCGTGGCGGTTGGTTGGTGTTGACGCGATAGGCGAGATTATTACAGAGTTTGGTGCGCTGCTTGAATACGGTGCGGTTCGGACGTCCGTGTGTGGTGGTCGTTCTGTGACAAATTGTGCGCGTGCCTAGGGGGGCTATTTGGCGGTTGAGAGAAAACCCGGGCGTGTAACATTAAGCACACCCGCTTGTCTGTGGTGGTGGAACTCCGGGTGAGGAATATTTAACAAGAAGTTGTGTGCTGGGTAGCCTGATCGCTCTGACAAGGCGTTCTTTCCGAAGTATGGTGGTCTTGCGGAGAACGCGTGTATACGAGGAGGGGGGGCAAGAGAGCTGTGGTTGTTACTCCGCATCTTGGGGATAAGAAGATCGAGGGAGGTGATAGATACTATTTGTGCATGGCCGTGGTCATTTTTAAGGGCATTGAACAAGCGGAGGCAATGGGGAACTTGCCCATTAGTAAATACTCCGAAAGTTGGTCGTTTGAATGTGTTGCATGGTTTTTATTAGTTGCGGTGGTCAGAGTTTGTTGTGCTCACGACATGACTGCTAGAGTTTGTGAAGCCTTTGTGCGTGCTATGCTCCCTTCTTGCCATGACTGCATGAGTGGACGCGGCGAGAAGCAAGTCGTGGTGCTGCCACGATGTCCATGCCGCGCTCACAAGCATCCCGAAAGGCGAGCCAGTCACGCTGAAGAACTTTGTGGACTTTTCGTTGATGGACGGCAGGTAACTGTAGATAGTCGGGAAAATGTTTGTTGTCGAAAGTGAAACAAAAAGAGGGAAGACGAGGAGTTCTGTTATTTTTTGGTCTCGAGCGGTTCGAGGCTTGGAGCCAGAAGTAGCACTAGGAGCGGAACCCTCGTCGGGCAGTACGCGCGCGCTCCACAAAACGGCTTCAACCTGGCCTGTGCTGAAAGGTTCTCGTGAACGAGTTCGTCTAAAACGGTGGTGTGATATCTGGGTTGTTTGTGTTGTAAGCAGGTTTCTTTGCTTTCGGTCCCCAGGCAGCGCGGATGGCTGCTGATGACATAATTTGCAATTGGATTGTTTTGTGTGACTGAAAACAAGCTGTGGGCCCCGCCACCCAACATTGGCACCAATTGGTGGGAGGTAGAGACAGTCAACACATCGTGCTGTCAACGTGATGGCGCGGCAAACGATCTTGGACATTTGGGGGCGCCAATTGCCGCGGTCGATCACGGGGGGGCGGCCCCCAGAGATAACCAGAAACAAATGGCCAAACCATCGTTGGCTGTCCATCTCGGTCTTTGCCTCCCTCTCACTAGCATGAAGTGGGTACACAAGTTTCTCCAGCACCTTCGAGAAACTATTATTTGGCACGCATACCCTCAGTTAGGGGGAGCCGCGAGCAGAAAGGTGGTCTCCAAAAAAGCCCCCCCCAAAAACAAACAAACAAGGAAACTACGTAATGTAGCTTCTTGCACATCAAACCACCCCCGCCTGCCTCCTGACAATCCTAAAGTATACAGTTTAGGCGTGTCGGCCTCTGCTCGCCGTGCACCAGAGAGACCCAGTATCAAACAACGACTGCTTCAACGCCGATGGGCACAGGCGATATTTTATACGCCACACACCTGGGCAAAAATCAAGCGGCCGCACACCAGAATTTTCGCACCTGCCAACAGAGAAAAACAAGAGGGAAACTATAGGCGACGCACAGGCCTAGAGGGCCCAAAGCAACTCGTGGTCGAAAACTAAAACGTCATCTACCCGCCACCCAACCTCTTGTCCTCTTCCTCCTGCTGGGCCTCTCCCCGCGAGAAACTTCTGCTGAATGCTTGGGAATTTCTCGCGCATCTCAGGGCGCTCAACCCGCCCACCTAGTCCGCTGTAGCTACAAATCGGCACCCGCCCACCGCAATACCGAGCGGCTAATTCTTTGTAGATACGACACCTAGGAATCGCAACTGTATGATTGCTGAGACAGGATGAGGGCTACAATCATTCCGTAGAGGCCCAGCGCTTCGGCGAAGATGAGGATGAGGATCATGCCGACGAAAAGGCGCTCCTGTTGACCCACAGCGCGTACCCCTGCGTCTCCTACGATTCCGATTGCCATGCCTGCTGCCAGACCGCTGTTGTGGCGAGGTTTCCGCAGGCAAGAGTAGTTTGTGCGGTGAAGAAAAAGGGGCGACAAACGACAGGGGATACAGGGATATCAAGCCGGGTTCTTGAGCGTTGCCAATCGAGCAGCAAGTTTGGGGCAAAGCGTCGCACCATTCTTGTAAGGCAACGATGCCCGCGGAAAGAACCGCCAATGCAGGTGTGGAGGAAACGCTCGTGGGCTAACTGACGTGACAGATCCCACCGACGCGCACACCACCGGTGGAGACACGATGCACCAGGACCGGGGGGACGCGATTGTTCGTCCAAACCCAGAACTCCAACAACATTCCATGGCTGAACACAAGCATTCGAGCACGTGCGCACGGCCAGGCAAACAGTTGCACAACACAATGCTCCAAACGATCAACAATACCGACGAAAAGCGCGTTAAAAAGCATAGTGACTGACTGACCTGAGCCCACAGCAGAGCCCTGCCGCGAGGAAGGCGTACCCCGAGAAAGATGAGAACGTGTTGCCGGTGTCCGATGGCATTCCGACTGGAGAAAATAATCGCCGAGTTGGGGTGGGGTGTAGGGACGGGGTTCAAGCAGAGGGGAAAAATGTCGTCATCACCACCGGAAGCGGCTGGCCAATAAAAAGGGGGGGCGGATGTGTCAAGGGAAGGGTCCGAGCGCTGTCGACCCAATGAGCGGGAACACCCTACAGCATTCGGTCAGCGTCTTGTCTACGGCGCCCCGCCGCGTGGAATTGGAGATCAAACAGTATCTCGAACACGATGTACGGGTATGAAACACGGACACTTTGAGTCACCCGTATGTCGGCCAGCCCAACAAAAGTTCACGATAAGTCCACTCGAAACGACCGTTTGTCGCAACTGGGACGCAAGATGTGCCCACCTGCCCGCAGAGGCTACGTTGACGATAGAAACCCTTCCCTTGTCGTTACAAAACATGCCCAAGACCGCGTTGAAACTCGCTTCTTAACGACCAAAGGTCGGGGGTTGGGAGCAGACGTCACATCGCTATCGGTCTCTGGGTTACGAGAGGGAGAATTCACGCTGGTCGGACACGAACTTGCCGAGTTTGTCTCCGCCCACCACGACATGGATGCACATGCTACCGGCCGGGAACACTAACAGCACACTAGAAGAGAATCTGGAACGACATAAGTCCGGAACACACCGCTATCGTCGAAAGAACCTGCTACTAGAACTGCCAGCCACCAAACCTCTACAACCCTACACCTGGATCCACTTTTCGCGCGGGGGAACAAGCGAAACAAAGCGTGTCTTGCCCTGAAAAGTAGCGCCGCTGCCGCAACTGCTGTGAAACCGAAGCCGGCTCCCTTCCTACTGTACTCACTTGCTCCCGAGAGGATAACCGCCACGATAAGACCGTAGATGCCCAGCACACCAGCCATAACCACGGGGATGATGTTACGCATGACGAGTCCGGGGTTCATCACACCCATCGAGGAGATACCCACGCCAGACTTGGCGGTTCCGTAAGCGGCGCCGATGTCTGTTTTCCATTGGTGGTGCCGTTCCAAGGATCGTTACAGATGCGGGCAGGAGGCGGACAGGACAGGCAACGAGGGAGGTTTAGGATCTTGGTTTCTAACACTCAAGAGGGGCGTTTGCGGCAGAAACGCTAAAAGCGGTGCGACGTTCTCTTCCCTATCGCGGAGAATGCTACTGTACCAACACCCAACACACATATGGCATTCCCAGAAACGCTGTCCAAGTGTTAGCGTTGCGAGAGGGATCTGGCGAGGAGGTGGCTTGAAAGCATGGAGCTACAGCAGTGCTACCCGTGTGGAGCACAAGTACAGTCAGTATGTTATTGAGAGCTTTTCATTGATCCCGTACAGGGACGAGCCGCTTGACACTGGTGGCAAGCAAGACACTGACCATTTCAGTAAACCTGCAGTAAAGAAACATAAGAGTGCCGGCAGGCAACCGTAAAAATATCGACATGCCTGGCAACATACCAACTCAAGGTACGAATCGCACTGGGGTTTGAACCGCAGTTTTCGCGTGCTGTTGCTTGCAAGCATGTTCAAATTGTCCACAAAGTTATTGCGATCACCGAAGCCCCGGCAGTGGCACAACACGAGCCATGCCAGGTTAACTATCAAGCGACAAATGAAATTCCGTCAAACGTTTGTGCACAAGACCGCATCACACGGCAGCAGAGGCGCAACACAGAACAAATCTTCACAAGGTGAACTTGGACACTGCACCGCGGCGAGTCACCGTAATACCGGAACCCTTTCAAGGACAAACGGATCGGGTGTGCTTGTGGACGAACAGACCTGATGATGACAACGTTGTGTGTAACCTCAAAAAGGGGCTACTTTTGTAACAAGATTGTACGATAACTGCTGTGTAGCGACACGGTGGTACCCAACTACATCCGGTATGATATCTCTGAGGTACAATGAAGGATTTTGAACCTCCAAATGACACAGCAGTAGAGATAAACATTCCAAGCGAATGATCCCATCAACACCGCTAGGCTCGTTGCGACCAACGAAGCCATTGAGTACATGTACTCACAACGCGAAGCCATTTGAGATTGCAGGCTCTGCAACAGGCAGTGCAACTGACGTGTCTACGCTACAGAGTAGTTTACGGAGCTGGACAAATCCCCCCAACATCTCGTACATGAGGCTCACGAGAGCGGCAAAGCACAACCACTTCAGCAACACCAGCCAGATTTGAGGCGCGAGCCCAGAGCAGCTTAAATTTTTTGGTGGCGCTGCACACCTACTTTGCGCCGCTCCGTTGTGTGTTGTCGTGTTCCTCGTGTAGACCAAAGTGACGAAATATATTGTACTGGTATGTCTAAGAAATGCACCCATATGCATCCGCATATCGAGAGCGGTAAAACAGAGACACAGGATTTCCTGTGACGTTCGGAACTTTCTCGAACCAACGCCTGCAAACGACAAGCTGGCTAGGCGGCAGACCGGACTAATAGCAGAGCGGAGAGAGAACCAATGCAAACTTGTTTCAGTGCTTCTGCAGGACCAGCGAACGCAGCGCACAAAAGTTCTTCCCTACTGCTGCGTGCCGTGTGCTGACCAAAAAACACGAGCTGCCAGCGTTGGCGCCCCAAACGGTTCGGATGGACTCAGAAGCGTAGCCCAACACAAGCCAATAATTTGTACAGCGAACGTAAGTAATTAGCACTCGGTGTGTGACCCCCTCTGCAATGGAGTTTGCACAGAGCGGTCTCGATGCGTAACTACCGCTGGCAACCTAGATGGGGTTATTGTGTGCTCTGGTGTGACGGTGATCCAGAAGACGGGCTGAAAATGCGAGCCGCGCAACAACGTTCTGCGGGCTCTGAATCTCGTGTTCGACGCGTTCAACACCGTGCCCAAACCTGGGGAGTTGGATGGCATTCCCAAGCACGGCCAAATCTCGAGGCACAAGCGAGGCAGAACTCGTCTCCGCAGTTTTATCTCTAGCGGTGAACGCCCGTCCCTGTTCTCTATCTCTCTCTCCGTCTCGCTGGCATCGATTGTGCTGCAAATATGTTCGGTCACTATCTCTGCGCCAAAACCACCACTCACTTCCGAAAACCATGGACGAAGCAACGCCCATGAAGCCGAAGAAGGCCGCCGAGGAAGGACATGTCTCCATGATTGCTATGTGTGCTGTGTCCGGGACGTACGCTACTGCCGGGAGAGAGACGAAAGGTCGATGATGCGTGCCTGTGTGTTCCGAAGAGAGACCACAGCAGGCGGCTGGACAGAGGCATTTTTCGAGTAAGGGGAGGACAGCGGCGACGCAAGTGGTACTAGGCAACCCCGGGCAGAATTCGCGTACCCCCCCCACATTACGCCGCACTCCGAGGCGGAGCAAGTAGGAAGTGCTGTGCTCTTTACACGGCGCAGCTCTCCCTTTCTCTCTGCTCTATCTCAGCGGCCTCGGGACCTCCATCAACCCAACGTTTGCTGCTGCGGGAGGATGCTTCCTCCTGGACGACGACGACGACGACGACGACGACGAGCACTAACTTGTGTGGTAGCGCTGCTGCTGCTGTCCGTCCCTCCAGGCGCGACGGAAAGCAACGTCCTTGAACATGTGCACAGCAGACGAAGCAGCAGTCGCACGGCGGCTCTGATTGCAGGACCTGGGGCAGGAACAAGGGCGTGGTCATCGGCATCAGTATCGTCATGGCCATGGCTACTGCGAGGTGGTCAGGGCGTACGGAGCACGCGTTCATCGGAGCAGAGACTCATCATTGCCAATGCGAGAACAGATCATGACGACGATGTCGCCGAAGCGGGCACCTCCACCGCCGCTGGCTCGAGCACTTCAGGTTCTATCGACATCAAGGCCAAGCCGCGGTGGTCTGGCGGGACAGCAGTCGAGGGAAGGGGTGATGGTAGCGGTGGAGGCGGCGAACGCCAGGATCCAAGAGTACACTCGCTGGTGGATCTGGTGAAGCTGCTTGAAGTCTCGGAGAACCCTCTCTGGGAGTTGGTCCGCTTCGAGGTGTGTGGCATGGGAGAATTTTGTAGACTACGCGATTCCTTGGTGCCCTTAGTCCATGCATTCCTTGAACAGAGCGTCGCGTGCTGCCGTCTATCTCCATCGTCATGCAGACCACTCCCCGTTTGAATTGTCGCATTCATGACAAGCGCACGCAACAACAGCACCACTCTGTTCACAACGAACGGCTGGTAGCTCTGCTTCAAATACATCTGTAACATGAGAAATATGAAACAATTCGTCGCTTCGCCACAGAACGTCAGTCAAAACGGTATCAAAGCATAGTTATAGTTATGTGCAGTATAGTGATGTTCAGGGGTAAGTCGTTTCTCGAGGACCGTGACCGCACCGCTCTCAGCCTCGTGAAAGCATGCACACGGATCACACAAACTCACAATCTATCCATCCATCCATCCATCCGGTACACAGGGCCGAGAGGCGTCGAAGCAGTCGCACGTATCGTCCATGCTACACGGCTCGGTACTGGCTCGCACTTCGTTGGAAGACGCCGTTTCGTGCGATGTCGCCGACAAGATGGCCACCACCTTCCTGTCGCCGACAGAGGTATTTTATTGTGTCGTCTGTAGCCCTAGGGTTGCCGCTGTTTCGCGCTCTCCATTCGTTCTACGATGCCGCGAGTCTTTCCGTGTAAAGGTGTGCACCACGGCTGGACCGCCTCCATGATTGTCCTGTCGATCTCGAGATTCGTATCGACCGTGGTAATAAGTTCTTCCGCTTCGCTTAATAAAGGTACTCTGTACGTCTACGGACGTGATACTCTGGAGCAACCTTATACCTTCCGGGCCCTCTTGGGTGTTACACTGGGCGCCCCCAGAAGCGAAAGTTTTGCCCTTTGGAACCCTCTGCCGAATCGGTCCGTCGTAGTCGTCACGTACAGTCACCCAGCCGGACAGCAACCTTACACCTGGCTATACTGCTGTACACGTTGACAGGTGAGGTCTTTGATGAGTGACATGTACGCGGACGAGCCGCTGTTGGACTTCGTTGTTGCAGAGGATCTGCTGGCCCATGCCATGCAGGACACGTCCTTGCCCGACGTGCTCACGGCGATGCTCTTCCACAAGGGATTCACGGCTCTGACGACCTACCGGCTGATGAACTGGCTGTGGAGAAGAGACAGGCACAACCTGGCCCGGTATCTGCAATCGATTTGCTCTGAGGTGTGTCTCGAGATGCCGACTACAGGATCAAGCGGGTAAAAACTTGTTCGCGGAGTTGCACCATTTCTTCGTACATGCTCGGGTTCTTCGCTGTCAATGCCATGGGAAATTGCCATGGCCATGAGACGAAGTCCCCTCCCACGAGAGTTTCAAAAGTCTCTGGTATCACGGTGGCCGGCCACAGATTCGTGTCCAAAACAACGGTTTGTTTAGCGGCTTGCAGCAGTATCGGCACGGTTTTGGTATCGTCGCCGCATTGAAAACGGTGGCAATCTCTGCTCAGGGCCTTCAGTCATCCGTACACATGAGGTAGCACGCGACGCTCGTATGTGCATGTGGTCAGTTGTTTTTGCATAGGGCATGGTGTGGCATGCCTTGTGCCAAGTACTTGGTGTTTGGGTGTGGTCGAAGGCCATTCCGGACAGGATGACTTTGCCTTTCCCCTGCCAGCCAGGCCACTATGTTCTTCACCTCTCGTGAACAGGTCTGTGGCATTTTGCATTGCACGCGCTGGTTCGTCTCCTCATTCGATTTGATTTACTATCGATGGCTAGCGTTGACATCGCCAATGCATGTGAATGATGGGAACGTTGCGTGTATTTCGGCTTGTTGTCCGTTCTTGCAGGTGTGTGCCGCGGACATCCACCCGGCGTCTACAATAGGCAAAGGGATCCTCATGGCCGGCGGCTGCGACATAGGTACGGCGTTCCGTACGATGCGATGATCGTTCGTAGCACGCACCATCATTGCCTTCTGCCGACTTCCTCTATTCACAGTGGTAGTACGTCAAGTCGGTGGCAAGCAGAAACTAGCGAGAAGTCTACGCTCTTAGAGAAAAGGAAAGGCGGTGCGTTGCAGTGATTGACTTGGCGGTGCCCCACCAACGCGATGCCCGCCCCGTCGCCGCTCGAACCTGACATGACAGTTATCGGCGAGACTGCAATGGTCGGGGACGGCGTTTGTATTCTGCAGGGCGTGACTTTGGGGGGTACGGGAAATCAGACTGGGAACAGGCACCCCAAAGTCGGCAAGGGATGCCACATCGGTGTGGGTTCTTCTATCCTTGGAAACATTCCCTTGGGGGAGGTGAGCAGCAAGCGTAGGAAGACAAGAGTCGAAGCCGAGTCGATTTGTCCAGAGATGTGGCCCACTTTGGAGTCGGATCCAAGTCAATCCTCCCCTGCTAGTCTTTTTTGGATGAAGGTTGGTTGCGCTTGACACTCTTTGTTTCGATTTTGTTTCAAGCCTGTGCGTGACTCGCCCTTCGCAAAATCAGTCTCCTTCCTCATATCTTACCGTCTTCCTAGGCCGAGCTGGCTTCGCCATGAAACGATAGCATGGATTTAAAACCTTGCTCTGCAAAAATTATCAGTCGTGCCCAAAGAGTCCTCTGGTATAGTGTTGGTGCGCGTTCAGGCTCTGGTGTGGTAGCGCGAAAGTCTGAGACGGTCTGTGTGAAAGCAATATCGTTTGACCGAGGTAGTATCTCGCTTCTATTGTAGTGAAAACTATGCTTGGAGTTTTGTCGAGAGGACGGAAAGACGACCTTGACCGGTCAACGAAAATGTGCTGCGCGTGATTCGGGACGCTTTACTGTAACCGGTGAAGCCGCAGCAGCACCCCTTTCGCCTCCTCTTATGTTCCCGCGATCTAAAGGCAAGACATCATATAACGCGACATACATATTCGCGTTCACAAGTGGTCAAGAAAGCAACCAAAAACCGCCAAAGGTCCTTCGGTGGGGTCTCGACGCCAGAGCGATTGATCGGCGAGAGCGACTGAGGGAGTGACTCGACAGAACGGCGTGGCTAGTTCCGCTGCCGATAATCGCGTTGTTGGTAGCCACACCAACGTCCTTCCAAAGCCACAGCTAGCTGTTGGGTCTCCCACGTGTTGCCCCTCACTCCGCTCCCCCGTCTCCTCTGTCGCGGTTGACAGGGCTCCCGCATCGAGGCCGCCTCCGTGGTTGTGAAACCCATCAAGCCGTACACCATCAACAGGGGTGTGCCGTCGAAAACCGTCGCCTGGGTCGTTTGCGATCCGCATCAGGACGTAGCGGTTGGTGTGGAGGAAGGGGCAGCGGAGGAGGAAGGGGAGGAACGCACGCCTACGGTGAAACCGCGGCGGCTGTTTTCCAACTACGGCTCGCTGTACATGGGAGTGTGAAGGGAGGGGCGCGGTGATGTCATTAGGCTTTGGCTGCGGCAGCCTGTACAAGGCGTAGAAAATCGTCGAAAACCTTGGATATGTCCTCTCCAAAAACAATTAAGAAGAATAAATTTTTGTATCCGATTTGATGGTGAGGCGTGTTTTGTCGATCTCCAGAGCGTACGGTCAATTCTTGACCTAGAATGGATAAGCGTGCAAAATGGAAACCGTCGCAGTCTCCCAGAATGCGCTGGCACCACAGGTACTGGGGCACTTCCTTCTCTCGTCGAAACTGTCGACTGTCTGTGCCTTCGGGTGTGTCCGTGAGATCATGCACATAAAACGATTTCGAGGATCTCCAGTAGTGGTCCCAGGGGTAGATCAACCCCCTCCGCTTGCTTGCCTGTGACCAACTACTGCATCCCCCGAATCGTTCGTACTCGTTAGATTTCCACCCACTCTCCATGGGGCAGTGAAAAAAGAGCATGCACAACCCTTTCCCGGCAAACCAGCCGCACGTTCAAGGCAACGCCAACTTGTGGCACAGGCCTGCCCTCCCTGTCATTGTAGTTGATAATTTACACTCCAATGCACTGACTGACTTATGACACCCGTAAGCACGACGAAGTTAACGAGGAGTAATAAACTTCACACATAAACACGACTCTTTGAGGAAAAAAAGGCCATGGCCTTGACTTGATGCCACCGACAACAATCGACAGCATCCCAGCCAATGCCGACTCGCCAACACAGCCTATCCCCCCCCCCAACACACACCACACACAGACATTCATCTCCACCACCCTGCCGGAGACCACACGCTTGAAAAGCAATCACCACACCAACGAAGTATACGCTACGCAACGACGGAAACTGTCGATCCGCCATCGACGTCCTAGGAAGATCAAAGGACACGAAAAACGTAAAGGTATGTACTGCTGAGTTCCAGCCGTCGTTCACTGACTGGACAGCTCTCGTCTCCCGCGGCGCGAGACATACTCCCCAGGCGAACACCGACAACCACTGGACAGGCAAACACAACGCAAACGGACGGCGTGGAACAGATCATCGACGATCCCATCCACCGACCCATCACAGAAGAACGCCGCCTTGCAAAGGCAACGAGAAAGAGAAGCTCAACCGCAGCGCGCTATTGGAATAACGGCAAGTCATTTTCGTCGCAGCTCAAAGTTCAAGCAGCGGGACAACATATTGCACCCTTGGGGCAAAGCTAGCGACTGAGGCCATCGGACACCACCAACAAAGATAACCAACACCGACCTTATCACCGGTAGTGCAAGGTACACACAAATGACCGCACCCAAAAGCCTATAATAAATGGATCGTACTTTGCGCTATTAGACTGTCTCGCCAGCCCCCACCAGAGGCTCGCTAACACACCAAGAGAGCATCTGAGAAGCAAAAAACGCATCTAGATACAGCGACGTTAGCAGTTTTCCCCCATAGGCAAGCGCGTCGTGTATCCTTCAGACAAGACTCTTTTTTTTTTTTTCACGACTCCCTCAAGCACATACGACAATAATACCATGCAACTATATTTACTCGCTGTCCCGCCGTCGCCATGTGCAGCTTGCCTTTCTTTCCCGAGCGCAAAACGACAGACACAATCCCCACCGCGGAATCCCCTAATATTCTAGCCAGAAACAAGGGTCGCAGTGCAACAAGCACCCCGAATTCCGACCCGTGACATCCAACACTGCCCGTCCCCCCCCCCCTCCCGCCCGCGCTCGCCGTGAGTGCATTTCGCAGCGGGAGCTCGACAAAAATGGGTATTAAGCAAAACACAACTAATGGCATCTTGGCAGTGGCCGGCAGACGAAACACGAGCCTCTTGTTGGGGCAGTGACAACACGACGAAACGGGCTACTCTTTGACCCGCCGGGACATTGCCGGGGATTGCCGCGAACCAATCGCATCGTTGGACAGAGCACGATGGCAAAGTGCGACTTGTTATGCTCGCGGGAGCCGTGGCGGAGGCTCCCAAGCACGTGAGCACTGCGGACATTGAGCCCGGTGTTGCGGTGCTCCCGTACCCCGGAGGAAACAATACCCTTTCGTCGCGCATTGTAGGTACTCCCGGCCGAAGACACCGGTCGGTACAATAACGCCGGTTGAATAGCGCCGGTGGTCCTGTAAAGCGCCGGTCCCTCGGAATATCGCCGGTCGACTCGCCGGGTGTTCTTATTGAGGGCCCCCCACTGTAGGACAAAGCTGCTGTGGCGCCTAGACAAGGAGTCAACCGGGCTTTGCCTCAAGCGTCAACGGCCTGTTGGTGCTCAATGCTCGGCGGCAGGTTCAAGATCGCCTCTTCGTCGAAGGAGCGGCAGGCGCTTCGCTCCAGGTACATGCGCTTCGCCCAGTGGAACAGCAGCAGGTCGAACACGTTCGCTGTCAACATCTCCAACCAGACCCCCGACGGCAGTGCTTCCTTCGCGGATATAGACTTCTTCACCTCCCGCTTCGCCTGGTTCTCGTGCGGTAGCACCTTACGGCCACGGAAAAGGGAGATAAAGACAACTGCAATCGGTCGAACTGAACAGCGGCTTCGAGGGGGGGGGGGGGGGGATTCACACCGGCGCTCCGCTCTCATGTGTGGAGAAAAGGGGTAGTCATGTGCGGTGCTGGCGGCGTCATGTATGTACCGCTTGAGGGCCACGACGCTACTACCTGTCGCCACCTATCGTCCCCGAACTCGCCGCGTCCTGTTTGTCACACACACTCACCTGTTTCCGTGCCTGGGTCCAGCCCAACGCTTCCTCCAACGCCCACATCTCATCGTCGACAAACTCCAGGATCAAGATGAGGTTGAATCTTCGAAGAATCTCCATCGCCATCTTGAGGTCCTTCCAGGTGACCTGTGCTCGCATCCCGACAAAGGGCAAGGCAAGGGGCAAGAAACACAGACAAGAGGACGAGCAGCCGCGCACCAAATACTCCCCATGAACAAGCGTGGAAAAAATCAAGGGCGGCATGGTCGCGACAACGCTTGGGAGATCATACTTCTTGGTCACGTCAGGATGGATAGCGCGCCAACCATTGGAATTGGAGGGGGGGTCCCTCGTGCTGTGTTTGTTGCCTTTTCGAGAGAGCTATGCGCGCTTTGATGGGGAAGCTACGAGTTCAGTCTGAAAAATGATCGCGCACAAAAACAGGTTGGAGGGTCAAGGCGGTAGTCCCCGCATCACTCCAAAAAAAAGGAGGGACAAGCAAGCACTGCCCCGCACAAGCGTTTCGCGCCCTCACCTTGTCTTTCCAGTTGTTAAACTTGTGGTAGCTCCACGATAAATCATTTGTGTGCTTCGGGCTCCCCTTCGCGTTCAAGTCCTGGGTAGATGAGGTCGATATAAGCGCGAGAGAGCAGTGCGGGGTACGAGGCCATAAGGTCACAAAACATCACGGCGCGTCAATAGTCAGTCAGCAGCAGCCAAGAGAGCGCAAAAACTCTACAACGTTCGGCAACAAGCGCGACCGCTCTATCATCCAGGGACAAAAGAAAATGCCACCGAGAGGAATAAGAGAGCTTGTGGGTGTCCGGGGGTAACTCCCGCTCCGGCGCACCCGTCATCCGGGGGGAAAATGGCTGTCATGTATTGCTACGTCTTGCTACCGCCGGTTGGCGCAAAGAATGTCCTTCTTGTGACGTAAACCGACCACCAAAACACAGCAATATATCTTACGGGAACAAAAATCCGGCCGCTTCTGTGCTAACTTCACATCAGCAGGCAATATTCTTGGACAAAAAAGAAAGGTAGGGAGATTAGGTAGCTACAGCAGTGACGCCGTCAAAGGGAGGTACGGTAGTTCCCCGGCCAAGGGATCACCTGCATGAGCTTCTCAGCGGGCGGGTTGGCCTTGCCGCAGAAAGTCTTCACGTAGTAGTTGTCCCCCATAATGTACGGCCTCATCCGTTTGTACCACCTGCCACACCAACAGTAGTTGTTGGTCTTGTTGTCAGTTCATCGTTTCCAACTTTGACACCGGAATCTAAGGGCTTACTCCTAAATACTAACTTATTGGTCACAAAAAAATTAATCGTTGACATCTCCTGCAAGGAAAATGTACTGAGAACTCGGATCACCGTCGATGCTATGAATGTAATGCAATGTAATGTTACAAGGAACGCCCGGTGGCCACGAGATGACATACGCGGAGAATTTCGGTGCACACGGAAGGGTAATTATTCTGAGTTGGACCTGGCTCTCCACTTGCGTACATGTACAACCTGTGACGGTCCGACCAATCCCAAACAAACATGAAGACATGATACACTGCCACGCTGCCGTGGACAGACAACTGTCTAATAGTGTCTCCAGCATACAAACGTTTCTGATCGTCAGGTCTGGCGCCAACCACAGTAAACGAACCAACGTGCCATCCCTCAGTGCTACCACACACGGTGAACGCGTTTTTCTTAACACCGGCATCCTGCGGCCAGCGGCGCACCAAAGTTATCCTACCGTGTTGCTAAATTTTCAGTATTATTCCCTATCGGGTGCGCTGCTTACACGAGGAACGGCATGCTCTCTTTCTCCGGGTCGGAACCGTCCCGGTGCTCCACGTGCTCGAACCGGTACTGGCTGTACCATCGATCCACCGGATGCCTGGACGAGCATCGCGCGGACATTTTCATGGCCGGTGCCGCAACGTTCAGCATGTGAGGTTGTGTCCGTACCAAACCTAAGGAACAGCAGCTGCGGTCGAACGCCGTGGGCCACGCTTCTTCTCACAAGTGGTGTAAGCGGGTGAAACAAGCGAACCTTCCTCACGAACAACTGCTGCTACCGGCTAGTGCACGAAAGAAGCATGCATTGAAAGAAATATATGTTCTATTTTTGATTCTTGGTCGTGCCACTCAGCACCTCCCGCTCGCAAGTTATTTATACTGCCCCTGAAGGTCTGAGAATAACACGAACTATCCCGTGCGTTGATGGCTCTACAGCACATCTGGTTCAGAGATACGGACGTTACCTCCAGCACTCCCTACTGTGCAGGGAAGAAGCCTTTCAAAATCTCCCAAGATTTGTATCTACGTACGTCCCGGAAAGAGCATGCGGTGCCAGCATGAGCAGGTCCCTAAAGACCTCGACTAAGACGAGTCATCTGGCATGGTACCACACCATACCTCCACCATCATGGTGGAATCTGTCCTAGTACCGATGTTGCCGTGAGGCTATCCTCTCTGCGAACGGCTACGGGGAAAAAATCTGGAAAAAACGCACGCTTACAAGCCCCCCCAATCTCAATCTCGTGCCGAAATGACCACCACTATACAATATACAACGTCAAGTGGCAGCACCCGATGTCGACCCCAACAACAACAAAAAATGCCGGGTGACCTTATCAGCGTACCGTACCTGAAGGTTGTCCCAAAGACAGCCCCCGGCAGGTTGAGGTGAGACATCGGGAAGGCATCCCACTCGTTGGCGGTGATGCGGTGGCCCTGGTACAACAAACACGCCGCGTGCCGTCATGGCAGATAACGTTACCGTTGAGTCACGCTTTGGGCGTACGAAGTATATCGTATATCCGAACCGTGTGAGTTGGGGACATCCGCGCGATATGGTTGAGTCAAGTTTTGGGCTTTAAAACGCGTGTTCAAACCGCGCGAGATAAAGACCCCCGCGACAGGACAGGCTACATACGTTGTTGCTTCCCTGGAAGGCAAAACAATCAAACGAAACACACGCATGATGCGAAGGTGACGTGTGCAAGGGTTCCATCTCCTTAACGTCAGTCGCGGACGATTTTCGCTCTTCTCACATTGGCACTCGGTGAAGAGGTACCCGAATTTGGTGGAAGGCAACCTAGGTTCAACTCCCCCCACCCATCGAACGACTCCCTCTTTGCTCACACTCCTATACGTGGAACATACCCCAGCTTCCCTCACACCAGAAACACTAAAAAACCGCACGAGATTAAAAAAACACTAAAGTGTTTGATCGGTACGGACAGATGAAGGTACTGAGTAGAGAGATCGGAACGGTTCTTAATGTGAAGACAACAATAACAACCATAACACAGACAAGTTCCATGGTATGTATGTTCCCGCGTGGCATGTGCCACGTTCCGTCCCACGCCTACGCTGCCAGGAATATAGCAGCAGCACCCTCCCCCAAGGACAACCACCCGCCTAACTGAATCACTTGTTCGTCATAAAAAAATCGGCCGGGCAGCGTGTTTCTCGAGAGCCCACAAACAACGTCCAGTACTGCTGTTGCACATCCACGTCGTGCACCTCGCCGACAGAGCGCGCGTCATCATCCGCACGCACGTTGAAGGATGTGCAGCAAAAAAAACGCTGAGTATACTTTTAGTTCCAGTCCCGGCCTCCTAAACCAGACCAGTTCATACAGCACCATCAATGCTACCAAGTATAATACTGTATGTTTTGCAACCATGCAGCAGCAACCAACACGCCGCAAGCCCTCGATTTTCTGACAAACGGCAGCTGGTATGCACCACGCAACACGTCACCCGCATCAGCAATCGATTGTTGAAACTCACGTTCTTTTTCATCTTCTCCAGCAGGAAGTCCTTGTCAGACCACGGCGGGGTGGCCATGGCACCCCTGTTGTCCGGCATGCAGTGGTACATCGGTACCTCTCGCGCCGGCATGTTCCTGCGCATTCGGTGAACAAACACCCACCGAGTTAACGGCATGAAAAGGCGATGAATCGCAGGTCTTCACACGGATCAGGCCATTCCTCGAAGACACAGCCGTGTGCCACAGCAGCGACTCTTTTTGGGAGACAAGGTGATGTACAGCCTAGGTCTAACAGATGACCGCGTATACCTCCGTTGACACCTTCTGGGCGAGAGCGGGCACGGCAGTAACCAAATTCCTGGGGCTGCACGGATTGCTATGAACTGCCCTATTGGGAAGCCCTCCCGCCGCAAACGCTTCGCTGCGGTGAAAAAAACACCAAGCTATCCCTCTTGTCACTACCGAAACAAACCACCACCGAGAACAACGGACCGCCCCCGCGAGCATTTTCATACTAATCTACCAACTAGAGAGGGGGGGCTCATATCCCTATCCCTGACCCTATCCCCCAACTAAACCCAAGCCTTATACCCTCGCGAAGGCTACCGAGAACAAGTCAATTAAACTGCCTCTCTCGCCTGCCGGCCATCTCGCAGAACCCCGTGCCCCCCGCCTTCCTCAGGTGCTGGTAGTAGATGAACCCCTCCCCCGACTTGAAATACTTCTCCTGGTGGTGGTCTCGGATGTCGGGCAACGAGAACCGATCTGCTTCGATGGCCGGGCACTGAAACCTGTCCGGAGAGTCCACCGCTATCTGCACATCCCGGCGGCGACGTTGTTCCAAGAGAAGTCGACGTTTTCTTAGAAATAAAAGGGAAGTACAGCAGTAGAGGTCCCTGTTAAAGGGCGCTTGCCTGTTGCCTTGTCTACGGCCGGTGAATTGCTTGGCAGCAATGGAGTATTCAATACTCCTATTCAAGCTGTCTCATATTCTGAACAGTGTCGGGTGGTCGATATATGGCCGGTGTTTTCCCTTGGATCATTTGCGATCTTCAACAGGGACCTCTACTGCTGTACTACAAAAATGGAACACAGAGGACTAAAAAGGAAATATGCCTTCAGCTAGGGCACACAACCGGTGGTAGAACGCGTGACAGGTACGAACAGCGGGAGGCTTTCGCGCCATCAATCGCATCCAAAACTTAAGGCGGACGTACCGTTTGGGAGATCGTCTCGGAATCCGTGCAGAAGTAACTAACTCCAACATTTTGAAAAACTACTCGATTTGCAAAAAATGACACCCCCTCACGCGACCGGGTGTTTTGATCCTTGTGAGAGATAGTTCACGTCCATGTATGATCGAAACCGGAGTCTAAGTCGGGCCATATGACTACCGAACGCGAATACCTACATGCCTGCCAAAACCGATTCCATATCATCGTTTCGACCGAACCAACCCCTGACATCCCCTCCATTACCTCAAACGGGTCTTCTTCCTCAAGCAACCTCGCCAGCTCCCCTGGATTGGCGACGCCGATAGAATGCAACTTCTCCACCAAGTCCCACCCTTTCCGCCCCTCCAGCACCTTCAATGAGGCAATCCCCGACTCCTGGCGAAGCTGATATTGCAGCAAACAAAACAAAAAAAACGAAAATATTGGAGAAACCCCCAAACAGTTGTGGGAGGAAGCGGTTTGGGGTGTATCGCAAAAGTTTGGTCCAAACTTCTCGCCATGGGAATAACTGCGGCGTATAGCAGCCGAAATCAAACAAAACTAGAGTTGTCAGCGCTGACTAGTCTATCGGCTTGGGGTATCGCAGTAAATAGCTTGCTCCAAACGTGGCGCCATGGACCCAACTGCTGCGTGTAGAAGCCGAAATCAAGCCAATAGAATAGTCAGCGCTGGCAAGTCAAATTGTTTGATTTCGGCTGAACAAAAACAAAGCTAGCCGTGGGGTTTGACAGCGCCGACTAGTCAAACGGTTTGATTTCGGTTTCAAAAGGCGGCACCACTAGGACACCGTGACTGCGGTGTTATCCTTCGGGATTAAGCTAATCGAGAAGCACATCCCCGACAACACAAAACAGAATCAACAGGGTTCACTCGGAGTAGACAGGTCCACAGTTGCGCCCTAACAGCTCCTCGGTGGGCCACGAGGAAAAAGCAGTTTAACGATCACCGGACACGAGCTACCATTCGTGCCTCTCTGGGAAAAAACGTTACTCGTTTTTTCCAAGAAAGTACGATCCGGGCAAGATGCAGACTGACTACAGCCACAGCTATTGGGAGAAGTTCTGCAAGCACATAAAACCTGCCAGAGTCCCGACACATCATCATATCATTCCATTCCATTTCAAGAAAACGATATCCCCCTCCTTCCCTCCCACAACAGCACGCCTTCGTGCAAACCACTAGAGTAACGCCAGGACGCCCACGCAGCCGCCAGAGATAGGAGGTGGCCAGCGTTATCGGGCACCGATACCCCGGGCACCATGGTATATGTTCCAAAATTACGACGACTACCACAGAACACGCGTGTGTACCCTGCTTGGAGCCGACAGCACAGCGTATGCATCCAAATCGAGAAAAAAAACACAAGCACGTCGGGCGTTCGGCACTACAGAACGCGCCATCAACTAAAAAACTTTTCGTGTTCGCCGAGGCTCGCTCCATATTTTGTCTATGGGGTGCCCTCACGGCGACTACATAGGTTTTAGCATGGGCTTCTTGACGGAGCACCTGTTGTTACGTCCAACTTCTCGGATTTTGGATTTGTTGAGGCTCAACTTCACATCATCTGCCACGGTGGCGCGTTCTGTACATTCGTTGGATCACTTCTGTTTTCGAGGAAGGCAAGCCACGACCGCTCGGCGCCATGAACCCACACGCACATCCGCCGCTCCTGCGATTTCGTCGTCTCGTCCTCTCGTCAAGCCATCGTCTTCGCGGTTCCGAGAAACAAAATTGATCGTAATGCAGACCCAGGTCGCCATGAAGGCGAGGGAGGCCCAACCCAAGTAACTCCGCATGCTGCTTTTCTCTCGTCGGGTGCGCCCGCCCATCTGCGGGGCCTCAAAAAGGTGCGGGGGGACGGGGAGGGGGGAGACAGAGAGACAGAAGAGACAGACAGAGCGATAGACAGAAAGGGACAGGGACAGGAACAGAGACAGATATATGAGACAAGATCAGAAAGAGCGGGAAAGAGAACAGGAGAAAGGAGGGGTAGAAAGAAGAGGGAAATATGGAAGGGGAGACAGAGAGGGAAAACAAAGACTGCATTAGACAGCGAGAGTAGCGCCGGGCGCGACAGGACCAATACAGGACAACTTTGGTACCGGGAACACTTCTCATCGGGTCGCACGTAGCGTTCAGCAGTGCCACCTAGTGGGTACCAGTGTTGCAAGTGGGTGAAGTGAAATGCGGTTCGAGCAGCGCACACGCCAGCAGCGTTCAAAAAGCTATGGCATGCGTTGTACTCTACCCGGAGGATGGCTGTTAACCCCACCTTCACAACGGCCGGCATAGCTGAGACGAAAAGAACGCCCACGCAGCTCGGGACCTTTGCCGTTTTCACAGCTGGTACATTAGGTGCACGAACAACCAAGCTCTCATTGTTATCCAGAAGTAATACTTGTAGTGGAGCCAGAAGGCCGACTCACTACTGTTGTCCAAGTGCGATAGGCCCATGGCCCGGGAGAAAGATAAGGTGTGTGTGTTTCTGTCATCCACAATTACTCTGGACGTCGACATCAGTGACACTCTTTTCGTTCTGATTTTGGACGCAGGAGCCGGACTCACGCAGGCAGACGTACGCCTGTATACAACATCTGCTTCCTTGCAGAGATACAGGGAACATCCACCCCACTGGCTCGCAACAGCAGCAGCCACGTTTGAAAACATGGATACACCAGCCCACAGGGGGGATCGGAATATAATGTTATTGTTTGATTATGATGGGAACAAAAACCGCAGGGCCTCCGGAGATGAACGGCGATTCCGGAGCGCCCCCCCCCCCCAAAACTCCAGTAGGCAAACCAGCCCCCACAAGTGGACTATTGTATTTACCAAGGCCACACAGCCGAGGGGCGGATATAGTCTCCGAGGTGGATTTGGAAACGCCCAACTTTTCGGGTTTCCTTTACATTTCCTCTGACTAGAATATTCGAACAGCGGAGGAACTGGAAGCAGTGTGTGGTGGGTGGGTGTGTTCGTGTGTTCGTCCCATTTATTCACGCGCCGGACTCCGGTCTGCCGGCCTTTCAGCGTATGTTCATGCAATAACACAACCACACAGGGGGAACATAGGAGCGTGCATGGCGTGCATAGGCAGCTGGCAACGCGACTTCGGAGGCTAACGCCAGAGTCGGACGAACGGAACAGTCAGCCCACCAAGGTGGCGGGGTTGGGATGATTTAGACAGTCCGACCCGGCAGACAGCAGTTGCACAAACAGGAGCTACGTACGCATACACGCATACAGTACGACTATTATACAGACCTCAGAGGATGAACGTTAAACTTGGGGCGGTAGACACCATCCACCCCCGAGACTTCCAGGGGGGAATGATGAGGATGAAGAATCTGTGGATCTGTAAGGAAGAGTTAGGGGCTACAAATACCAGCCTAGAACATCACCCTTTGAAACCGTCGTGTGATGTGTGATATCCCGGAGATCAACGGACTGGCCAAAGTCGGAGCGGTGGAAATTTCGAAATTTCCAGGCGTTTTCTAGGGTAGAGGAAGGAGGTCTACGTCTGGTTGCAGGCTACAACTGGGGGGCGCTGACTGCTGTGTAAGACATGAGGCGCCGGGACGCTAGTGATCTGATTGTGCAGACACTACGGTGTGTGCCTGATTCGCTGCACGCGAAGGCCTTTTGTTCCTCGAATGCTGCGGTTGAACTCGCTCTTCTTGTCTCTAGGCAAGTTCTGTACCTCACGTCCGTGTCGGTAAATGTTCCGACTCTCGCTCTCTAGCTGCTGGGAGCACACGAGCATGCATCAGAGTCTTGAGAAGCAGCGCTGATAGGTGTTCTCCCCTCTCTAAGTATGCCTCACAAAATATGCCCGCCATCATGTGCTGTTGCCGCACACTCCCCTCAGTGTGGTCGTCAGTGACTGCTGTACCGGCTGAGCGAGTGGGAGTTTCTGAAGTTCTCTTCGTTTTTCCAACTGCTGTGTAGTAAATACTGAAGGATACAAACCTCGCTGCGTGACCACGCTACAGAATACGCATAGCGTAGCGGTGGTTGCGTGACCAGCACTCCACGTACATCGAGGCCAGTGACGTGAGAGGGAGGGATGGATACATGCACAAGCTTGATTGCAAACGACATGATGCCGACGTATGAATGTACACCAGCAGAGCCGGAGCGGAAGAGGTGGGGGGCTGGCTGCAGCAAAAATAAACCATTGTGAACACACCTGTTCTTCTATCCTTGCTTCAGCCAGGCCTTGTCACTTGCGAACACCGGCTAGCACTCCCCCCACGCTATTCTCCTGCATTCACAAGATCTTTCTGGATCACTGTGCGAGCTGGCATGACACTGAGGACTCCGCTCTCTTCCACGATGCCCATAGGGACCTTTTTTTCCAGGAGGGGGTATACCTCACTTTAGTCCACGGAATCCCCGACCGGGTGATGTAGTTAACCCGCACATCCCACTACACCCATCGCCGCAGACCGCAGACCGCCCTCTGTTCCGCCGTCTCCGCCGTCAACGTAGAGAGGTAGGGAGACAACGCGTTAGTAGAGAGAGGTGAGTCACACCCTGTGGTAGTAGTGGAGCTGGTATTAAGTTTAATCGCCCATAGGAGCAGGATGAGGTTTTCTCACCTCTCTCACAACGAAGACATGAAAAAGTTGGGCTTCCCCTCTGATCCACCTCTCGGAGTTCCTTTATCACAGCAGAGCAGCAGAGGAATCATTTCTTGGCCCACAGTTCTGTTACAGCCTTCGATTCGCCTGTCATTGTTCGCAACGCCATCGCTCTCTCGCTCAAAGAGTCGAGTGTTCTACCGAGATTGATGAACCGGCATCGCACGGTATGTGACGCAAGATACCACACCCCTTGGACCATTTTTCAGCTCGATTGCCCCACAGGACACAGAGTTGGCGGTGCCGAAAATGGCGGTGTGGGAACCGTCTCGTCGAAAGCTTTCCGACAACGCCTCGTTTGATTGATTCATCCTCTTCGTCGTGGAGAACTCGAGCTTCGGTCCAGGGGGTGTGGTATCTTGTATCACCTGTTACACGGTATATGGTAACGGCTGAGGTCGTGTACAATACGTGTGTCCGAACTTCGAACGCAATGCGGCCGGTCGTTACACTTCATCACTTCACAACATCCTGTAGAGAGAATAAGAAACGAAAGTCGTTCACAGAGAGAGGGGCTCGCACCCTCAGTGATGATCCCGATCTATGTACAGAAACACAGTCCATTTTGGGTCCATCTGTGTTGAATCCACGGTCTTCTACAAGACTTCAAGCAGTAGCTTACTCCGTAACTATGCATACTAGTTCGAGGTATACAAGTGCTGTATTTTCTTTGCCACGTCCCCATCCAGGCATAGGCATTTGGGCATGCTAGCATACAACCCGCTGGCATGCCTTTTGGGCCTGCGACGATTTGTCATGCTGCGGCGATGAAGTAGGTATCTCTGTGCGCTCTTGCTGGGTGATTTGGGGGGCAATAGCTGTCTCGAGCGCTGGTACCATCCGAACCTGTGTACAGTAATACCATGGGTGCGTCTACCCTACAGCAGCCGTTTCGCTCGAATCACGAGCTCCGATCCCTTGCCGCAGAACATCTTGGAGGATCCTTCTGCCCGAGTCATTCCCCGCTGATCCTTCTACGGGGTGACTTGTGAATGTGAATTGGTTTCCTCGCACCTGAAACGGCCTCTTTGGCATGAGTCTGTTCAGACCGCTATACAACATAATGGTCACTTGTACCAGGTACACATTTAATGGATGGGTGGTTGTTCTTGTGGAATATACTAGCTACTACAATTTCCCTCCTACGGAGCCAAAATGTACCCCTGAGGCAACGAAACGAAATCCATTTGCTCGAGGACAAGGGTGAGCTTGACCTTGGGCACGGTTTGGAGGAAGGGGGAAGAGACAGCCCGAGGAAAGGGTAGCAAGAGCTAAGGCAAGCCACGGTGTTGACGAGAAGGAGAGGGAACGAACACAAGCAGCCGAGAACGTCCCATTCATCCTCGATATGACACGTGGTGGCTCGCAGTGCGAAACTTTGCGTCGCAAGTTGACGCCGCGCTTTCTTCCAGTCTTGAAACACGACTTGCGCGTGACAACGACGCGCGGTTTTAGCGTAAGACAATCCGTGTCCTGCCTCTGGATGAAGGGCACCTATGAAGGCGAGAGTGACGGAGACCCAGAACCAGGAGTGGTTGTTGTGTTTTGCTGACCCTCGCAGCAAGTTGTTTGTGTTTAACCTCTCGTCACATTTGTTGTTGTCTCATTATTGTTGTCTTCACAATGAAAGTCCACCCGGTCTCTGCTCAGTAAGACTGTATCCAGATTTTTGAATTTTCCTTTTCGGTTTGTTGAGGTTCGCTGGGCTCTTCTAGTCGAAAACACGCCAGACGTGTGAGCTGTTCGAGCTTGAGAAACGTCACTGTTGGCAGCTGGCTGTTGATTCACACCAACACCGCTTTACTTTCGTTTTTTATCACGCCGTGACGACACTAGTACTATGCTCGGATGGGCCCACTCCGAGGGCGCGCTTTGTACCTTCCAATATTACGGTTTTTCGCACCACTCTGTATCTTTCGCCGCAGGTGTGCACCATGCTCTCTCCACCGACGGTTCAGATGACGAGGTGTCCGGTTTGCGAGGGCTCCGGCAAGACCGGCACCACGCTCGGCTTTGGCGGCACCACTTGCGCGCTCTGCCACGGCAAATGCTTCCTGCGGACAGAGCCAAACCCTTGCCCGTGTTGCAACGCCAACGTGAGCTGCGGTGCTGTCTTTTGTGTGTGCGCACTTTCCACGTGGTATCGAGTCATGCATGCTTCCCGATTTGCGGGGGTCAATAACGTCTGAGTAGTGCAGTGTGGCTGTCAGCTGTACCCGCACGTACGTATTGTCGCCACAACGCTCTTGCATGCGAGTTTGTCACCCATACTGATGGCGAATCGAATCGAAATATCCAGATGCTGCGCCCACCAGCCAATTGCCGCTTGAACCCTTCGACTACTGCTGTATCGGTAGAAGCGCTTTGCTGCGCAACGGATCGCAAGTATCTCCCCTTTTTCAACCACGCTGCCTGCAAGAGGGCGGTCGGTTGTTGGCCGTTCCGGTGTCCACTCGAACCTCGAGAACGTCCTTCTTCGAATACGGCGGTGACGTACTTCTCCGAATACTACGGTGACGGCGTGCCCCCTACCTACCCCCGTCTCTCCGTTGCCTCTTGTTTTTCTCTCCTCTAGTGGTGTTGTTTGCCTTGACATTAAAACCATTCCGGTCCCTCCCCGGTACCTTCCATCATCCGTACCGATCTAACTGACCCGGATGCCTTCCGTGTTGCCCACGAATAACACAACGAGTGCTTTCGTGTGGGCTCCAAAACACGTGGATTAACAACCCGTTCCGTCTGGATTGTTTCGGTTTCCGGGCGCTCCGAAGGGGGGGTTTCCGTCGTGGCTTGGGCTGAAATGGAGCACTTGCCGCTTGTGCCACGGGTTGAAGTATCTCATCGACAAGCCGCTGCCGTGCCCCAAGTGTCGGGCCACTGGACAGGTGAGTCCTCGTGAATCCTCTGAATGTTACCTTTGTCCACGCTCCTTGTCCGTGTTGTGCTCTGGATTGGCGCAGAAGGTCACCCCACGAACTTGTGACTGCAGCGGCGAGGGTTCCCTGTTCACCCCACCGAGCGCCTTGTCGCGTGTAAACCATGGGGCCCACGTGTACATTGCTATCAGGACGGTAGTGATAACGCCGGACATGTATATATAATCGCAGATTTTGTATGCGTCCGGGGAAAGACAGTCTCGCCGATGAGAATGGTTTATTTTTCGTCGAAGGATTCTTAGCACGGATGACGTTGGCGCGCTTTTGCCGCCTGCCGACGAAGCTGCTACCGTACGGCAGCGTCGTAAAAAGCGGCAGACTCTGGAGCAAATGGCGTCCTACACAAGTGCTGCTGTACAAGTTCACGGCTCCCTCTATCTGGCGCACACCCCTGCACGTGCTTGGTGCTTTGTCCTGCAGATCAAGGGTCTTGGAGGGGTGTTCTCGACGCCGTGCGACCTGTGTGAAGGGCAGCGTTACATCTGGAGCCCTCACAAGCCCTGCATCAAGTGCTACTCCTCCTCCTCTTTGTATAAGTACTTGTTCAAGTGCATCAACTGCAACGGTATCAGGTGAAGAGTCTTGTGTTTTTTTGGCTCCCCGGGTACGATCAAGTGCTGTAACGATACCTGGGCGAGAAGTCGTGGGTATACCCTCCCCCCAATCCTCGTGCCTTTCAGGAATGCCAAAGGAACACATACTTGCTTGCATTATCGTGGTCCCAGCGCATGTGTAGCAAACAAATGTGTGGGGGCGTATGTATGTTCTTGGAGCCGTTACATCAAGAGCAGAGATTTCTTGAAAACAGTAGCGCACCTCTCCGTTCCTTTTTGTGCGGGGACTTTGCTGACTGCTGTGCAAAGCAAATGGTATGAACATCGCTGAACTTAAGCCGCACCGTACCATAACAGATGAAGTATCGTTCACATTGGCCACTGTCATTCGTAAGGGCTTGAAAGTACACGATTACTGTACCCCTTGCAATTGTGTCGCGTCATTCATCGAGCCTGCCCAATATATGTCCTGTGTCCTCCGGGCGTATGGACGTTCTTTAACACGATACCCTCCGTTGTCTTACCTCCTGCAGCCCGTCCCCATACCACCCCCTGCGATGAAATTGCTCTGCAGGTACTCCCTCGACCCCCAGTACCTGTGCCCCCGCTGCAACAGCACCGGGCGCTTGAGGGGCTACGGCTGCACTCTGTGCTCTGGGCACGGGGTCATTCACCATGATGTACGTCGTCGACGCAGCATCGTGTTGAATCGAGACATGCAGTACACAGCGAGCACAGAACACGCCACATCTCGATTCAATCACTTGGGGAGTTAAGAAATTCATGCTCGAAACAAAGAGAATTGTGAGAGCGTGATACTAAGAAAATGTTCACCGAAGACCTATTTTTAGTCGATGTAGGGCTACCCCAAAGAGAAAGAAAGAGACGGGCCCGCGGCAACTGGAAGAGGTTGTTGAGTTTTTGAAGTGGCGCGTTCTGTATCGGCGCTTGTCGATCCACTCAGGCGCAGTTCGGGCCGCGTTCCTGCCACAAAAGCGACCGTCCCCCCAACCAGAAGCTGTAGCCAAATGCGGGGTGCGGCCCGACCGTTTTCCTACCAGGCCAAACGATTGATTATTGAACAATTTTTCGCTGAAATACACGAGCTAGTCCGGCTAGGCAGGGTCCTTTCAGGGTGTCTTAACTACTTTTGAACCTTTATCGCGTTCGATGCTGGGTGCATTCCTCGTGTCCTGAATTGAATGCAAGCACTCTTTGGGAGGTTCGGACATCTCTGCTCGAGAATGCCACCCTCCCTTCTTTTCTTACAGCAGCGAAAGGAGTGGGCTAGATCCAGCAAACGATGAGGCTTGATCCCAACGTCCGTCAGATTTGAACTACAAGTTTGTTCTGATCCTCGTCCATGCGGGCGATTGCTCTTTTCCGGCGCGCTTTCTCCTTGCCCTCTTGCTAACTTCTGGTGCTATCTTGACGATGCTTTGGTAGGTGGCTGCTTGTGCCAATTGCAACGGGGCGGGAGAAGTCAAGCGGACGCTCAGTCTCCTGCTGGGGAACCAAACGTGCCCCACCTGTCAAGGCCAGGTACTTAGGGCATGCCATGTCCTACTGTAGCTTCGTTGCGTTGGAGGCGTCACGAATGCATGATTCGAGGTCCAGCAACGAGGATGGATGCAATCAAAGCAGTGTTCTGGCGTCCCTTTCTTCCGGACAAACGACGCGGATACTTTCTGCCCTTGTTGCTGTTCTTTGGCGTTGAATGTGCTTCGTTCTGTTTATCTGGCTGTTGGGTGATGTAGGCAGGCATCCTTGATCGAGGATGCATGCGCCGGCATGGTGCCCTTGGAAACTTTGCAATGCGAGCACGTGCAGAGGGCTGCAGTGCGCGACCAAGTCCATGCCGGGGTGGGGTATTCGAGAACCACTCGCTGTCTGTCGTTGTATCGCCAATAGCCGGCGCGATACTCACCGCTGCTGCCTGTGTGTTGTGTTCTTTCCGGCACAGGCGTGCTTGTTCCCCCCCACACGAAGCGCCCGTACCATGCGAACATGACGCCACACGGCTATCTCAGCCGCCGCGCCCGCCGCCTTGCTTGCCTGCGCTGGTGTCGTCCGAACAGGGGTACTTTGCCATCTACGGGGCCCCTGCCCGGGCAATGCAACTCCCGAACAAGGGTAAGCGAGGCCGCGAGGACGAAGACGACGATCAAGGGGGCGGCTCGGAAGACGGCCGGGCGGAGGGCGGCAGGGTCGTCGGAGGCAGCGAGCCCCGGCCGCGGGTAAGCGGGAAATCGAGCAATTGTCAGCCCCTATGTACCCTGGAAAATCCGGCCAAGCGGAGGGCTGCTGCTGTGTACCATTAGTTCTTCGCTTGCGAGGGTGTTGTGGGCGTGATTTGCATAGTGCGGACTGCATTGTACTATTTATTAGTTTTTCGCTTGAGAGGTGTTGTGGTGTGCGTAGTAGGAGCCACATCGTCCCGCCGGCTACAGTTATAGGAGAACCAAGAGGTCTGTGTAGGAACATTCGTTGCTGTTGCGATGCGTGCGGGCGTGCATCTAGCGTGGGCATTCCGGCGTACCCCCCCCCCCCCCCCCCCCCCTCTTTGCGTGGAAACGGGCCACTTGTCCACAGCACCATTTATTTTTTTCCCCCTGGGTGAACTAC